CAGCCCCGCGGGACGGAAGGCTCCAGAAACCACTGGCGCAGGGACTTTGGGGTCGCAGATGATGCCTGGGGCGAAGGCCAAGGAGACAACGATGAAGAAGCGCGCCATCCCAGCATCTTCAGAAAAGGAGGGACATACAGAGCTGGTGGTGGAGGAAAAGGTGGTCCAGAAGGACAAAAGGATGGTTGGAACAGGAAAAGAGGAGACAAAGCCCAGGGCCCCTAAGATGCATACCTGCATGGACTCGTTGGAGGCCATCGATCAGGAGCTGTCGAACGTAAATGCCCAGGCTGACAGGGCCTTTCTCCAGCTAGAGCGCAAATTTGGCCGGATGCGGAGGCTCCATATGCAGCGCAGGAGTTTCATCATTCAGAATATCCCAGGTTTCTGGGTTACAGCCTTTCGGAACCACCCCCAGCTGTCTCCTATGATCAGTGGTCAAGATGAAGATATGATGAGGTACATGATCAATTTGGAGGTGGAGGAGCTTAAACATCCTAGAGCAGGCTGCAAATTCAAGTTCATTTTTCAGAGTAATCCCTACTTCCGCAATGAGGGGCTAGTCAAGGAGTATGAGCGCAGATCCTCTGGCCGTGTGGTCTCTCTTTCCACGCCAATCCGCTGGCACCGGGGCCAAGACCCTCAGGCCCATATCCACCGGAACCGGGAAGGGAACACTATCCCCAGTTTCTTCAACTGGTTCTCAGACCAAAGCCTCTTAGAATTTGACAGAATCGCTGATATTATCAAAGGGGAACTATGGTCCAATCCCTTACAATACTACCTGATGGGTGAAGGACCCCGCAGAGGAATTCGAGGTACACCAAGGCAGCCTGTGGAGAGCCCCAGGTCTTTCAGATTCCAGTCGGGCTAACTTCTGGCCATATGAGAAGCTCCTGCACATATTTTCTTACCAGCTCCCATGCTTGGCCCGCAGCATGCAGTCTTCTTTCTTTGTCCTGTATATTTTGGCCATTGGTTCTTGTAAATCTTTCAGCAGTGGCATTTCTCGCTTACCTGCCTCTGGGGCTTCCTGCTGTTCTGCATTGTGCTAATATGTTCCACTAGCATGGCCTGCTGCTGTTGCTGTACCAGGCTCACGATGCTGTAGATACTACTGCTTTCCTTCGCATGGCCTGGGTCCTGTCTGTAGTCTTCTCCCAGTGTTTTAAATGGTTCTCTACCACAAGGAAGTTTGGTACATCTTTTCAAATAACTAGGCAGGCCTCTTTAAGTTGGTTGTGCTCCTGATAGCCATATTCTGTGATGTACTCCTGAGTTTTACCACTGCATGATGAAACTGATATTCCAAACCAGCTGCCATCAACCCAAACTGAACATTCTGGCTAGTAGGATCCAGATCCCAGCTGTCCTCTAGGCCTTTGCTATCCACCTTGTTGGTCATATGGTAGAATAAGCAGGTGTTTGGGTCTACTAGGCATGAGTAAGGTAATAGATGAAGTGTTTTATGATACTATGTTGTTTTCCCATTGTTTACTGTACATCATGATCAGCTTTTAGCTTCTGGTGAGTATGAAGGCCCGTGCTCTAGCGCACACCTATTTCTTTCCTGCTTGATCTTTGCACAGGTCACCATTGTCTGCCTCCACCTCATGATTACCCATCTACCCAACTGGCAGTACCCAAATCAAAACAGGAATGGGATCCTTCCAGCAGTTAGACTTTTTGATCTCTAGCCTACAAACTATCCTTAATACAGGCAACTTTGTTAGACAAACTCCTTAACCCCTTTCATGCTCATGCTGAATGGAGCAGTTGGCAGTGGGGCCACTGAAGTCCTTCTGGTACATGGATGAAGCTTGGTACATCTCTTTCACTTTTCCCTCTCCCTTTCTTTCCTCTGCTGTATGGCAGCTCAGAGGCAGAAAACAAAACTGACATAGCAGGGTTTTTGTTTACTTGCTCTCCTCTTGGTTGTGTCCAGACTAAAATAGATTGCAAATCTCTTAATGCCCCCATTCCCGTGCTCCATTTCTTTCAGCAAGGTCTGAAAGTTTCAAAGGGAGACCTGCTGGGTTAATTGCTTAATACTGGTTTGTTTTGTTTTGTTTTTAAGGATAACCTGTTTTCTATCCATTCCATCCAATCTTGCTTCCTGAGTTTTAGTTTGAGAAGTTGGGAGGAGGGAGAGAAAGACCCCAGCGATGGGTTTGACAGACCCTGAGCAGAATGAGCTGAAGCAACTATAACTTCACTTTTCTAAGAGGGGAATTCTTTTGGGGGCTTTGGACTCTAGAGGAAATCTGACAGTTTCTGGGTCACCCCTGTTCTCTATTTTAACTACTTCCCTGCAATCCCAAAAGGCTCCTTCATATGATCTGGTCTTCTTGGCCCTCATTTCTCATCTTTTGAATTTCTTTCCCTACTTTTATCTTAACATGCAAGGGACCAGACTGCAGTCAGTGTGAGAGATCCAAGCTTTTCTAGGGCATAAGGGCGTTTGTGGAGTCTTGATTTCCAGGAAGAGTTCCAGTAGGTGGAATAGCAGTGTTGTCAGGGCTGCCTTGGATGTGAGGTATAATGGTGATAAACATATGCTGCTCATGATTTTCCCCTTTTTTAAAGGCCTTTCCCTAATAAACTCCCTGAAGGCTTGACGAGGCCTGGACACAACCAATGGAGGGGGTGCTCTAGTTAAGTAGGCCCAGGAGCTGAAATGAGCACCATGTGGAGCTTACTTTGCAAGGCTTCCAGAATACACTGAAACCCTGTAAGATCAGTGATGTGAGGGTGGCCTCTGAGGCACCGTGCAAGTATGGCAGGCTGGAGAATCAAAGGGTAGAGGTTTAAATAGTATGCTTTGAGGATTTTCTTCCAATTTTTCCCAGTTACTTGAATTGATGCATAGATTTTTGTAAACAAATGTTCAAGCGTGGATGTTTTCTCTCATTCTCTTATATATGTGGAAGATGAATGGTATATACTCATTTCGCTGTTTGAGTAAAATGCTATTAATTTTCTCCATTTACAGCCTACTGGCAAAACTGATGTTTTCAGGGCTTCTTTTTGTCATGGAGAACATGTGCAAAAATATCAAATTAGTGTCCTGTGCAGTATGAAGACTTCTGTGAATATTCATGAATAGCTTGTCTGGACTCTTCATATAGCTTTATTCTTAGCAATACAATTTGAATGTGATCTTTGAAGAGTGAAGATTTTGCAAATTGTTTCTATGTCTTGTGAAAGTAATATCAAAAACTACTGTATGCCTGATAATCCCTTGCCTTAGTAATAATGTACTTGACATTTATATTCTTAACCAGCTAAGTACTAGAATTGCTGTCATACTAAAAGAAATCATTAGTACTTTTATCTTATGTGCTGGAAATAAAAGTAAAATGTCATTGCTATATTTGTTTTTCCCATAAAAAGAAAATGAATAAAAACTTTTGTGTTGTTCAGATTTATAAAGATTAGAAAATCATTAAAATTATCAAATGGTCACAGAGAGATTATGAAGTTTGACACCACTTCTCAAGGGCCAAGATGGTAATACTTTCTTGCCCAGAGGATGACAATCTCCTAACTGGTTTGAGGAAGAAAAATGAGGCACTGTAGAGTGGAGCCAGGACTTCTGGAGTGAACTGAATGTTTGGTAAGTGAAACAAGGTGTCTAATAGCCTGAGTTAATGACTAGTTAGATTATTTACCTTTCAAATCTTTATAGAGGCTGGAGGAAAATTACCATTAGTAACTGAAGTTGTGGTATTTGTTAACCATGTTTTTCTTAAGATATATTTCAGTTTTAATGTTTCAGGTATTCTTTTTAAAGCACCACATAGCTTTAGGAAAAAAATCTAAGTAGCACTCACAGAATCTAGTGCTTTATTCTTCCAAAAATCTATCCTAGGCTCCTTAAGAGAAATTAGACCTAGAGGAACTTAGTTAACATAATGTAGTAAACAAGCCAGACATGGAGGTGCACGCCTATAATCCTAGCACTCGGGAAGCTGAGGCAAGAGAGGAGTTGAGGCCAGCTTGAACTGCAAAGTGAGACCCTGTCTCAGAAAAACCAAAAAAAAAAACAAAAACAAAACAAAACAAAAAAAAAAAGTACTAAACCAAGATGGTGTTTAGAGAATGTTTCCACAAAACACTGTTTTCTGTGATAAAAATATGTGTCTCCCTTACTGCCAGAAGTGCACAGGTTGTGTTGGAAAAAATTTCCTGTTTTCCTAACTCCATACAACTATTATAGAATAAGCTTCTTCTTTACTATTCTAATTTTTATGGTGCCACATTTTGGTTATTTTTACTCTTCATATCCAAGTGGAAACACTGCCACTTTTATAAACAATAAAATAAATATTTCACAAGTCTAATTATGTCTAACAAAGGCAATTCATTTGAGCCAGAATTGATAATGCTAGAAAGGTGAAAGGAAACACAAATTCTGTCTTCTTTATACAAGATGGAAAAAGCTGATTTAAATTAGGTGGTAACTTTAGGATCTTCAGGTAGGTACCAGCAAGAGTAGGACTAGAACTTCTTACATGAGAAAATTTGTACTCCTCAGTGGCCAAACATAAATTTTTTTATTTTGGAGTTGTCATTTTTCTTAACAGCAGTTTAAAGCATTTAAAGGTTTTTTTGTTTGTTTTGTCATTTATACAATAAGCATGAATAACGAAAAATAACTTTATTTAAAAAAAAATCAAATTTCTATTTATATATGAGATCTTTCATTGAGCTCTAAACTTGATGGTGTATGCTCATAATATTCCAGTGATACTTTGGCTATCACTTTCAAATACATCACCATATATAGTCATAGGTAGATATCAAACAAAGCTACTGACTTTGAGGAAGAGAAAGTCAAATAATCTAGTACTTACCCTGAGATACTTATCTCTATAGTATATTTGTGATTTATCTGAACATTTACAAATCATAACAAAATAGTTATCTTTTCATTGTATGTTATATGCTCAATCCTCTGCTACTGTTTAATAATGACAGTGACAAGTGTGGTTTTCTGGTCCTGTCCTGTGTGGATAGTGAAGTTACACGTAAGGCGCAGTCAGGAACTTTGGAACATTATCTGGCTCCAAACATCTTTTAACAAATAGCTACTAATGGAACTACACATGTCAAACAGATCATGACAATCTTGGATTGTAGTATACCCGAAAGACTCTTAAAGCAGTTTTCCTCAACCCTTTTTTTTTGGTCATCATCCTCTTGCCCAGGGAGAAAAGTCAAATTAACTCTAATTAATAACTATACATTTCTCACTAATGAGAAATATTATTAAGGAATGATTTATTTTTAGTAGGGCTGAACTATTGCAGGCTACAATCCTTTTTTTTTTTTTGAGAATCTGTGTCTTAAAAATTATTGAAAAATGAATAAGCAACCTGTAACATTAATCGGGGAAGAAAAACCTAGTAGTGAACAATGGAGATTGAGATAGTTTGCTTGTAGTATTCTGTCTCATGTCTGTTCATCTCCTTGTTTTGGAAAAGACAGGACTAGTATGAAACCTAATAGCTTGAAAAAAATCATAATGTTTCAGATTACTGGGACACACGCCCAGAGTTTCTGATCCAGTAAGTTTTGGGAAGTTTTTCAAATTTGCAAGTTCTGAGTGATGCTGTGCTATTCTAGCATAACACATTGAGAACCACTGGACTGTGTAGGTATATCTCCCCAGGAAATTCTAATCTCACAACTACTGGTATGGAAAATATGAATGTTCTTTTTACTTCTAGGCTTAGATTTTAATATAGTCAAGAGTTGTTAAGCATCAAATAAGTTTATATAAAATAGAGACTTATCGACAAATACCAATTACTTGGTCATTTTCACAAAAACATTCCTACAAAGCATTTTACAATATTTTTTGAAAATAACATTTTTAACAGTACATTTGTTGCATATATGTTTTCATTCCATTATAATTTGTCTCATTTCAGTGTCTCATTTGATAAGACCATCAGTATAATGGACCAAAGGATAGTAGCCAGCTGTTTTTGAACTGTTTGAAGAGAATCTTGTAAACTTGTAATCCAGGGGTAATTCTGGGGAGAAAAAAAAACAACACAACACAATTTGATTATTATATAGCTTCCCTTATAAATATAAGCAAATAAAAGCTAATACTCATGTTTTTTAGAATTTCATAAATTTAATATTTCTTTTGCCCTTCCCCCATAGGAGACACCCAGGATGAAGAGTATAGATGTCCTTGTAAAGTTTACCATACTATTTAAATTAAATCAGAGCTCTAGTGAGTTGTAGTACTCTACACAAAAATTAACAGCTAAAATAGGAATGATCATCTGAATTAGAAACTTTAAAACCAAAAAAACCTCTAGGTCCGACTCAGGAGATCAAGTAACTACTGAATGCTAGTGAGTACTCTTTATATCCCTAAGGAGAAATCAGAGGGTTACTAAGACTATCTGAATAGTTAGCAAAGTAAGAACATGCGTAATCTGGCCCTTCCAAGAGATAGGCATCACATGAGTGCACACAAGCAGAACTAGGACTAGAAGAATTGTGAGAAAGGACATACAATGCATACTTTATTGATGTCAGGACATTAATATCTACATAACGGGCTTTTCAAGATCTTAACCTTTTCTGAATTTTCTTAGGAAACATAACGAAGTATTTTAAGTGAAGCCTCGTGACCTATGTCATGTTCATTGCACTTGCAGATATAGGGCAATAATCTTTATTTCACAGATTTTACAAAGAATATCATTTAGTAGTATTGAACATTTTGAAAATGATAACAGCATAAATTATTTTATAATAGATACCACTAAGAATCATCAAGTCTCAAGCAATTAATCTTTTTTTTTTTTTTGGAGGGGGTACCGGGGATCAAACTTGGGACATTGCACTTGCAAGGCAGGCAGTGGCACCACTAAGCTAAATTCCTGGCCCTCAAGCAGTTAATCTTTATGAGAAGGAACACTGTTTTCTTGATGCCAGAGAAAGCTAGAATTAATTGTGAATGGAAAAATATCCAGCATTAGTGCATGGTATCAGTCCTCACTGTTCTGTTGGCTAGAGTCTATCTTGAGCCATGCATTGAAAAAGGCATTGGGAAGTAAAATGATCACAATGAGTTTCTAAAATCATACATCTAGGGTTATGGGTTTGATAAAACTACCAAAATGATGCAGATCAAGCTGAGCCAACTACCTCCTTCTCCTTCCTATAACTTCCTAAAGGGAATGCTTACATGTCTGTGTAGCTATAATGTATATAACGTGTATAGTGTTAAAAAGACTACCTGAAAAGAGTGCTTAAAAACCAAACATTTGTTACCTATGTGGTTAAGTACAAACTTTTACAGCAGCTTTATTATGGTTTAGATCCTTACCTCCACCTCACCCCCAAAGCGTCATGTATTCACAAGTGTGGCTTTTGCAAAGTGATTGGACCATGGGGTTGCCATATTCCTCAGTGGATTAATCCATCAATGAGTGCACTGTTGAATGTGCTTTTGGCAGGCAGGGCTTGGTCAGAACAGGTGGGTTACTGAGTGCATGTGTATTCTTGTCCTTGGCTCCTCCCCTTGCCCTCAGCTTCCTGGCTGCCATGGGATGAGCAGCTTTCCTCCACCATGCTTTCTGCCTTGGAGCAGCCAACTATGGATTAAACCTACTGAACTGTGATGAATCAAATAAAGCTCTTAAATTGTGTGTGTGGGTATTGTACCAGTGATGGGAAAGTAATTAATATAAGCTCTAAAAAGTAATTAAGAGGCGAAAGGGGAACATAAAGCTTTGCTTTTCAGTCTTGCCTCATTCCAAACAATTTTATTTTATAAAAAATAAAAATGCCTTATAAAGAAATCTGGGTATGGGATAACCAAACTGGGTCCGATTACTGTTCTGTTAAAGATCCCCAGGCTGGGGATTCCTAAGGGTGTGGATTCAGCAAGAAGAAAGCATTCACATTTCTGCTATAGTTGTTCTTGGGTGCTATTTGCAAGAAAAGAGAAAGGGAGAAAAGAACCAAACTTTTGCTTACCACAAACATTCTTCTGTTAAATATGTGAAATACTGAAATATGTGTATTATGTACACTATACTGTGGCTCATATAACCCACATTTGGTTAACATGAAACAATGAATGAATATTTCTAAACAGTAAATTCAGTGTAAAGTAATACAGAAATTAACAACTTTTGGAACTTAAAAAGATTAGCAGGATAACATACAAAGAGCCTACCATTAACATATCTATAGCCATGACCATCACAGTATTTTTCTTCTAGCCATCTTTCTTACTTGAAGGTAAATTAACAGTAGCGTCCAACTGTACTGAATGCTATTGACATGACTAATCTGAAGCTGTGTGTGAGACAGATCTTCATAAGAATGTGATCACAGCATAGTGCAAACAAATTATACTTTGCTTTTTGAGGAAGCGTCCTGAACATCAAAATATACAGTATGACATATCAGCTCTCTCATTCTTTCTCCAGAAAAATGGACACTTGTTTAGTTTTGTTTGACTTTTGGCAAATCCTACTTAATACAGTGGAACCTTGGTTCACAAACTTAATTCATTCCACAATTCTAGAAAAGATAGCCACATTTGTGTTCGTGCGGAAAGATGGCAGTGGTTGTATTTATTGCCTCATGCAAAGTTTGCAAAGCAAATCATTCACAAAAGAGTTCATGAACTGAGATACCATGGTATTTTCTTTTGAGAAAAGCTGGACAGGAGACAAAAATCCTGCTGATTTCTCCTTTATGTTACTGTGAAGAAAGCTTCTGGAATACAAAAAAGGGAGCTTGTGGTGTGTAAGCTCCACAAGGCATGGCTGTTTTCTGATGTGTTCCAAGTACCTGGAACAATACCTAGCACATGACAGGCACTCAATAAATACCTGTTGAATTTAAAAACAATACAAAACGGAGATGCACTGAGAGTATAGTTAAGGAGAAGTCATTTTTCTAATTATTTGGGAGAAATATTTAAATTCTAGAATAATAAATATTCACCTTTGACTTTTTTACTATGCATAACCATATTCTCTTAGTAGGTTTTATCCAACTACTTTATGATAATCTAGTAGCTTACACTCATACTGTCATTAAAAATTTGAATCTTGAAGAAAAAGAAAGCAATAAAGATTATTAAAAATAACAGTTTAATTCTATGCTAGCCTCTCCTTTAAGTTTCCAAAGTTCGTTTCTTTAACAGGAAAATTGTTTGTAAAAGAAAGGATTACATTAAGGCTATCTTTAGGCTAACATGGAATAAGAAAAACCATTTTCTGAAACCAATGAGAACAAGATATTTCAAACAGTAGGACAGTCTGATACTGGGCTTGTATGCTGACTTGAAGGATTGCTTTGTGGTCATACATATCATTGTTATCCTACCAGTAATTCAGAAAAATATCTTACTTTACTTTCAAATCCATCCTGTGGAGGAGGAGAGCAGCCTGGTATTACCATTCCCAATATAAGGAAGGATAATCTGAAACTCAAAAATTTTCTAAATTGGTGCCTACACTACTAGAAAAGCTGAACAAAAATTGAAATAGCACAGTGAAAGCACTGGAGGGCTGAAGAGAACCAACAGCTGAAGCATACAATTACAGTAATCAGAAAGGTGATCTCACTGTCTGCCACAGCTCACTATTATTCTAAGGTAAAGCCCCTCAGCGCTTCTGCACAGGTTGAGGGAGCTTGCCAGGCCCACCCCTCCTTCAGCACAAGCTCTCGTCCAGTTCTTATCCTTGTTGGTTCATGGAGTTCCTGAAAGGCCCATTTCCCTAGTTTGGTGGGCTTTCTGGAAGTAGCAGAAACCCAGGAGGGAAAGCAGCCTCAAAGTCAGGTTCAATACTTTTCTAATATTATCAGAGAAAACCTTTAGTTTTTCATTTAGTACATATTAGCTACAAGTCAATACCTGGGTTGCCTTAATGTTTATATATATCATAATTGCTGGTCTTTTCTCTTAAAATTAAGGGTGGTACATAACTGGTTCTAGGGCTGGAGATTTAGCTCGGTGGTTCCGCCGCCTGCCTTGCAAATACACGGACCTGAGTTCAATCCCCAGTACCAAAAAACAAAACAAAACAAAAACTGGTTCTTATGGTATGTTAATATCTAATTTGTCTCTGGTTGATACCACTGTAGCTGTTTCACTTGATATTAACGGGGCCACATAATTGTCACTATTTCTCTGTGAGCCAACACTTAGACTGCCTTTGTGACATTAACAATACTAGATTCCATTCCCAGTGAACTTAGTTGCTAGCCTAACTACATGGTATCCTCCTCTCCCAAAATAACCAGGGTGGTAGAATCTTGGGGCTGCCTCAAAGGATTATGGTTATTAGACATGCCCAAAGTACATCAATGAAAAGCAACTAAAGAGATCTCTTATACCAGTAGCAAAGTCTCTAGTTATAAGCATCCACAAACTTTAGCACAAAACAAAACAAACAAAAGCGATACAAACACGGGAAGAAAAGGTAACAAATCAACTAAGTCCCCTGAAGCTAATTCAGGGGGCATCAAGAGGCAGAACAGTGTAAGTTATACAATGGAATTACTCAAAAGCATAGCAGAGGAGGTTAGAAAACAGCTCAAAGAGATACTCCACAGGATTAGAGAAGATATAACTAGACAGATAGTAGAAGTAATAACCAAAAAGATGCAGGAGCTCTTGGAAGACAATAAGAAAAAGCTAGATGAACTAAACAAAATGATACAAAACATGAATGACCAGGTTTTTTGTTTTTCAATCAATATGGTACATGATACATGAAAAGATTTCAAACAGAAATCCAGGGATTAATAACACAAAGTTTCTCTGGTGTGAAAAACTATAATTGTACATAAAATCCTAATAGTATAATTGACAATGTGAAATAGGAAGAAAAGGGCTAATGGTGTAGGGGAAGTGGGAAGGGTAGGGGAAAGGAAATAAGGGAAAAGAAAAATATATGAGCAAATGAAAAAATGGAAATAAAGTATTTGGAAATAGGGAAGGGAGGAGGGGGAAAAGGGAGGGCAGGAGTAAGGGGAAAACAAGGTACAATATCCCAATGATGAATGTAACTGTACCATATACCTAAAATGTACCAATAAACTCAATGAGAAAAAAAAATTCTTAAAAATAAAAAAAAAAAACAACACTGAAAGTATAGGCAGCAGGACAAACCAGTATGAGGACAGAATTTAAGAATTAGAAGACAATGATATTTTCAAAGACCAACTATTCAAAGACACCTTGAAAACAATAAGAAAATGAAAAATGGATCTAACAACTGCTAGAATAAATGGAACAAGTAAAAAATCAGAAGACAATACAGATGGCATGAAAACCTGTTTACAGAAGCAGTGGCAAAAAACTTTCCAAATTCAGAGAAAGAAATATACACATACAGATAAGTGAGGCATATGAAACATCATATAGCCAAGACCAAAAGAGATCCCCTGCCCAGCACATTATACTAAAAATTGTAGAAGTGTATCACTGGGACAAAATCTTAAAAGCTGCTATAAAAAGGCATCAAGTCACACCCAAAGGTAAACCCATTAGAATCACAGCAGGCTTCTCTATACAAAACTTAAAGACCATGGGGGCTTGGAGTGAAGTGTTCCAAACCCTAACGGATAACAACTTCCAATCTTGAATTGTGTATCCTGCAAAACTTTCCTTTAAAGTTGATGGAGAAATAAAGTATCTCTATGACAAGGAGCACCTCAAGAAATTCATGGCCACCAAACCAACATTACAAAAAATTCTCAAGGATACCCCAGAAAGAGACAGTGAAGTCAACAATGTAGTCAAAATAATGGCAGGATGAGCAGTTAAACAAATGGGGAAAAGTGAGGAAATCAGCAATAGGAAAATAATGCAATGGCGGAAATATGTCAATACTCTCAATGGGAATGTTCTCAATTCCCTAATCAAAAGACACAGATTGGCAGAATAGATTAAGAAAGAAAAACCAACAATGTGTAGTATATAAGAAACATTTAATTTAAAAATATATTCATAGATTAAAAAAAATCAAAGGATCGAAAATAATATTCTAAGTAACAAGAACCCATAAAAAAGCAGGAAGTGCTATCCTAATTTCAGCAAAAGTAGATTTCAAATAAAACTCATCAGAAGAGACAAGGTTACTACATATGGGTTAAAGGAACAATTCAAGAGCAAGAGTTAATAATTGTAAACATATTCATGTCAAATACTGGCACACACTCAATAAAACACTAATGGACCTGACAAATCAGATAAACACCAATATAATAGTAATGGGGGAACTCACTATCCCACTGTTATAAATGGACAGATAAACTAGACAAAAACTCCACAAAGAAATATCAGGATTAAACCAAACCTTTGAACAAATGCACTTAATAGATATCTACAGAGCGTTCTGTCCAACAACAATACACGTTCTTCTCAGCAGCGCATGGGACTTTCTCCAAAATAGGCCACATATTAGCCCATAAAGCATAATTAAATGCAAAAGAAAAAATTATCTCATGCATATTATCAGACTATAGTGCACTGAAACTAGAAATCAATGGCAGAAGATACTACAGAAAGTATGCAAACACAGGGAAATTAAATAATCTCTTGAATAATCAATGGGTCACAGGTGAAACTGAAATAGAAATTAGATAATTTCTACAATCAAACAATAATGCTAGTACAATACACCAGAAGCTATGGAACACAATGAAAGCAGTCTTAAGAGGGAAGTTCGTACTGAATTCCCACATCAGAAAAAAAGAATAAGCTCAAACAACCTAATGATGCACCTCAAAATCCTAGAAAAATAACAGTCCAAACCAAACCTAATATGAGGAGGAAGGAAATTATCAAGATCAGGGTGGAAATTAATGAAATTGAGAATAAAAAACCAAAAACAGAAAGAATGAATCAGAGTTGGTTCTTTGAAATATTAAACAAAAAAGACAAACTCTTAAACAGTTTTACCAAAATAAGCAAAGACAAGACCCAAATCCATGCAATCAGAAATGAGAGGTGTCTAGTTTGATAATTAACTTTATAAAGTCAATAAATAAATAAATAAATAACTAAATAAATAAATAAATAAATCCAAGCTAGAAAAATAAAAGGGAGGTGGAGGGAAGGGGCAAAAGAGAATTGAAATGTTATGTACATACACCAATTACCTACAGTGGATGCAATCGTTATATACTACAAACTTGTAGTAGTAAGATTGAAACAAAAACAAAAACAAAAACAAAAACAAAAACAAAAAAAAACAAAAAGAAAAAGTCTAGCTTCTGGCTCCACCATGAGGGCTGGTCCTAATTACCCAGGCTGCCACATCTGCATATCTAGAAGATGTTTCCTAAGAAAAAGAAATCAGTGTCACAGAAAGATTTCCTCTCAAAGACAGAAATTCTAGAAGGTCAGGTCACTGGCCAGTCACAGGTGACGCCTCATAGGTCTCTCCCACCTTACCTGCAATTGCTTCAATACTTGGAATTGCAATAGTGCTGTAAGCACTGATTTTGTTAGAAGACCACGTGTAAACCAAGGAGTCCTCTGTATTCTTCTGTTCAGAAACTGAATCAATAAAAAACGAGCCCCATTTTTTAGATAGGGTATTTAGAGGCTTTGCCTTTGGTCCCTAAAACAAGAGAACAGAGTAACTGTGATTAATATTGGAAAGTGATTAACCTCAAGATTTTTTTTTTCACTCAGTAAATCAAAATGGAAAAATCTACTACATTTTCAGAAGAAAAATAACATTTCCTTATTATGAAGTATCCTTTATTGAAATCTAGAACTGGGGTTTTAAAAGGTCAGTTGGATGTAATCAGAAAACTATCTCTAATGCAGCAACCTAGAAATGTACGTTTTTCCTCCAATTTAATTATTATTATTGTAACATCTAAAGGGTGGTTAAAAGACAACTTGGGCTGGGTGTGGTGTTACACATTTAGAGTCTGAGGCAGATGGAACTTGAGTTGGAGGCCAGTGAGTTCCGGGCCAGCCTCAACTGAAATGTGAGATCTTGCTGCAAAACAAAACAGAATGCAAAGAAGCTTTGGTCTAGTTTTTAAATTTGCTACCTTTTAAAAGTAATGCAGGGCTGGGGATTTAGCTCAGTAGTTCCGTCACCTGCCTTGCAAACAAGGGCAACCTGAGTTCGATTCCCAGTACCAAAAAAATAAAATAAAATAAAAGTAATGCAATGATTGAATCCCAGTACCAAGAAAAAATAAAAAACGTAATGCAATGAAGACAAGATTATTTCTTACTATGGATGTACTGGAACATGAAGCCAATCAATTGATATAAGGTTTTGAATTATTAGTTTTTTAAAAAAAGTATCATACTTTTCAGCTGGGAATACTGAGATAAATGTGAGTACTTCTCAGAAGGCTGACCTCAGTCCTTGTCACATATGCATTCTTCATTTAGGAACTCCCACAGGTGGTGGTCACTAGATATAGAACCCTAGATAAAACAGTATTTGTTTCTAAAGAATAAAAATTATTTTCATCACACATGGAGTTGTCAAATGCAATACAGTGAAACTTTACTGAACAATATTGGCCCCACTTTATGTTTTCTAAGCTAGCTATCCTGACTACTTTTTTTGTTTTTTTGGTACCGGGGACTGAACTCGAGACCTTGCACTTGTGAGGCAGGCAGCAGAACCACTGAGCTAAATCCCTGGCCCTAGACTACTTTTTAAATTAATGTAAAACATCCAGGCTCAGTTAGTCAATCTGGTTGCTATTTAATTTGAACTGTAGGTATATCGGAGAATGCTGGTGACCCCCTCACAGGTAAGCTTGCCTTCAGTCATCTGCCCTGATACCTTTTTCCTAAGTTTTGACTGAATATCTAATTTCTTACATGCTGGCTATCAGCCCATTGCTAAATTTATTAGGCTGAACCATTTTAAAGTGCAGGAATTCACCTGGTTTTGACAAATAAAAACATCAATTTTATACAGTTTTATCTAAGCAGATATTGTAAAACTCCTTTCCCATTGGGATGTAGTATCTGAGGTATCATGAACAAAATATCCAATACTGATGCAGCTGAACACATCTTTTTGTTACTATTGTCTTTTGGGATGTAACCCGAGATGTCATTTCCAAACCTGAAGTCAGAGAAGTACTTTCAAAATCCAAACCTCAGCGAAACACATGTTGATCCCACAGAATGCAGTACCTGTAAATGTTCTGGCTCATGGCATCAATCTTGAAATAATCAAGTCAATTTGATTTTTAATTATATTTTTGAAAGTTCACAAAGGCTCCGTGAAGTAATTAGAAATATAGAGTTACATCCTTTTGCATTCAGACTTTAAGCTAGACAAAAGATGACAGTTCTTATGTATTTAGTGCTTGGTCTTTTTCTTAACAATCACAGACTCTACAGGCTCTCATGCTGTGCTTTCTCTTCAGCTCTCTGTGAGGACTGCTCCTGCTCCTCTCCAGGTGCAGCAGCTGAAGGTGTCTGCATACTGCCCCGTAGGGAAGCGAGGTGCGTGCGTGCATGTGTGTGTGTGTGTGTGTGTGTGTGTGCCCTGTAGGGAAGCAAGGTGTATGCGTACGTGTGTGTGTGTGTACTGTCCTGAGTGCAACGCCTCGACCTACCTCATGGGCTGCTCTGTGTGTGGGCGAGTGTGTGCGTGTGTGCGTGTGTATACTGTCCTGAGTGCAATGCCTCGACCCGCCTCATGGGCTGCTCTTGGGCTCTCATGGAAGCCCCTGTGCTGAGGAGCAGATCCCACTCACACACCGATGCAGTCCAACTTGGTACACCACGGTTCTGAGTTCATGTCAAGAGGCGTTTGTAGAGGAACCGAAACAAAACAAAACAAACACCCGAGTTTTCATTTGCCTTCCAAGACAAGTGAAGATACATGACAGACTTTCCATAAAGCAGATAATACAACTAAGTTGGCCTGGCATATCTACTAAGGAGGGGCCCATTAGTACAAACACGGCTTCCAAAACGGACTACCAAGGGCTGGGAGTTTAGCTCACTGGCACTGTGCCCGACTCTCAAGCAAAGGTCCTGAGTTCAATCCCCAGTAGCCCCTCAAAAGAACTATTGAAACATGAGCACTTTCATTCAGACCAGTATAATTTTGAGGGCAAGTAGTCTGAAGATATTTTAGCTTTCAGACACAAGTTTTTCTTTCAAGAAAAGCACAGACAGCCCCTACCTCGTATTTCCCCCTCTTCTCCAGAGGCTCTGCCTCCTCAGGCTTTTCGCCTTCCTCCCCTCTGAGTTCTTCCAGGATGAGAACTGTCTCCCAGTGACTGTAGTGACTTGCCGGGAAAATGTCCGAGTGCATGCTGTCACCAAAGTAAACGACCTGGAAGTCAGACAGCAAATTCTATTTGAGAGGTGGTGATTTTATGGAAGGCGGAAGAAAATTCCTCAACAAGCATCACAGAATGACAATAAAAAAGTGGCCTAAGTTCATGCATCTTAAACTTCCTTGGATAATTTCGGAGGTGACCACTGACCTGACTCCCAGAGCACCTATTTGTGTTAGAAGTTACACAGCCCAGCTGCAGGTGTGATAAAGGCAGGAGAGAGACAGAATGTTATTGCAGAAGTGATGCCATGTGTTTCCATAAACGCTTGTGATCAAATCTGTCCCTAGGTTTAACCATACCCACCCCAAGGTTACATATGCCCAGGTTTAATGAGACAACTTACTGCATTGGGTTGCATTACCAAGCCTGTGCTATAGCCACTCTTCAAGAGGGTTTCTAGGCCACACACACTGTGTGCTGAAGCAGAACCCCTGAGAGTGTGGCCGGACCTGTGAAACCTAAAAGCATCACCGGTTTTCTGAGACTAACCCCATGGAAACAATCCCAGTGGCGGTGAACCTCTGGCACATGTGCTGCAGCAGGCAGTTTCTATCACTGAAAACTCTCAAGGTTTGCCACCACTGCTGCAGACCTTCCAATTTATAAAGGAGAAAACAAGGTCAAGGGGTGAGAACCAGACCTTCAAGTCAAGATGCTCTGTCTACTAAAACTGCCTCAGGAGACCTCTGGGGGTTGTGGCAATGTGGGAGCCAACAGAGCAGAACTCACAACTCAATCATCTGTCCTGTCCTGTGGCACCTGATAAATATTTTTTAGAAGAAAAGAGTCAGCTGTAAAAATTACACTATCTGCACTATAGCAATGTGATCAGGATATCAAAAGAAAATGTGTCTTTGGGCTAATCTGTGGTGTAATTTCATTTGATGGTTGTTTTACATCTAGAATCTCTTCTTTTTCTGAAGTACCCCAAACATAAAGCCCTTGCTCTGTGCTTGGAATCCTTGCTCCTCACTGTGACAAATAAAGTGTACATCAACAGAGGCAAGATTATTGCCTCCGAAGAGGTAAAGGGAGAGACTTATTAGATAGGCAGAGGCAGACGACTGCACCACAGGTGACTGAGCGGAATGCACCCACAGCTCTGGCTTTGGCTTTCCACCGTTTATGTCAGCAAGTGGACACGGAGGACTCCGCCTCAATCAGAAAATACCTTGGGCTGAGGTTTGCCGGTCATTTTCTTCAGAAGCTCATAAAGGTGGGCAGCATTCCCCCGGGAGTACCAGCCAGGCTTGTCCAGGGACGGCAGCGCCTCCTGCTCCTCGTCGTCCTCTGCAGACAGGCAACAGTCACGCGCACGGCCAAGCAAGACACTCAGTCAGGAAGTCCGCGCTTAGGGCGCGACTACCTGCAGACCCACACACTCAGTGACCGCTTGTCATGGCTCCTCGTGTGTGTGTATTTTTAAATGCTCTAGGTTGGGGAAAATAAGGCTCAAGGAATTTATCTTGCCCAAGATCTCAAAGGCAGTAAGTGATTTACTCAGTGATTAGATGTATGCCTACTTCTGCAAAATGGCTAAGGAAACAACATAGTGGAAACCATTAAGCAATACACTTTTTGGAATGGGGGGGAGGCAGATTCTGTTTTATTAGTGGTCTATTAATTCTAGGCCTCAAATGTTTTACCTAGAGTGGGTGGAAAAGAACAGCACTGGCACTGTCTGACCCCAAAGCATGAGTGTGTGGGCCATGCCAAGCTGTCGTTCTCAGCTTGATGTGCACAAACCCAAGCAATCAAACACCATTTAGACAGGGGTCACATTCTGCTCCCAGTCTAAAGAAGCACATGAGTATCTGTTTTCATATAATATTTTAAAATGTGCCTCATGAGTACAGTGAAGACATTGATTCTAATAAGCTTAATTAAAAATATTAAATAATACACACAATAGAAAAAAATGAAGGTGGATAGAGATGATAGGGTACGGTGATTCATTTCCTCAGTTTTAAAACTGGGTTACAGAGCTTATATCATAGCGACTGTGCACATAAATCAATACAGGTGAGGCATATGCACTGATTACAGAGGTATTTATGAGTACCAGTTGCTATCCTTTCAGTTTATAGGTAAAGAAACTGACACCTGGGCAAATAAGGAGTCAAAAGAAAATGTCTCTAGGCTAATCTGTAGTATAATTTCAGCTTCTGCTTATTTACACATGGACCCTTCCATTCAGATGAATTAACAGGGTGCCCTTCATCAGGCACCCCAAACATGAACCTCTCCCACTCTCGGGCTTGTGGTCCTCTGTCCTAACTGCTGCTGCCAGAGCCAGGCAACTGGGGTCAGAGGCCAGAGTGAAATGATGGCCCAGAGGTCGGCTCTGATTTTGCATTCTTGGACCCAAATGTAGCACAAGGCATCACTGAGGACAAGAACAACTGCAGCAAAAAAGAAGACTTCATCTGGCACCCCTGAAGACACCATGGATGGACAGTTCTTACCCCGAGCAGAGCCTCAGCAAATTCCTGTGACATCTTTCTACAATGCCAAAACTCAGTGCTGCTAACAGGTACCCGTTTCCATTAAAACAAGTAGGCAACGGGAAAGAAGGGCTCCAGAATGTAGAACAGGTGAGTTCTAGCAAAAGTTCTTGTAATTTAACAGAATTCAAAAGTGAAACTTAAAAAAACGTGACTGTATTACTCAAAAGTCACAATACATATTTAAAAAATACTAATAGGACACCAAGTATCGTTAAACTCACCTGTTCTACAAAAGGCAACCATTCTTTTATGCACAAAAAAGCAAATATGAACATATATTCTTTTCGTTCACTTTAAAAACTATCTGCTGAGGCATAACTGACACACTATATTATAGCGCACCGTCTGGGAGTTTGGGCACATGTACACACCTTGTATTGGCTGAACTACTGAATATCCCCCAGATTCACCCATGTAAGTCCTCGCCCCCAGTGTATCAGAATGTAATGTATTTGGAATGTAGGGCCTTTACACATATTCTGCTGCTTTCATTCAGCAAGTTAGTATTACTGGCACTGTCCTAGCTATTTCTCTAAGAAAGATACACAAATGGTAACAGGTATATGGAAAAAAAAAGTTTAACATCACTGATCACTGAGTGTTAATGTAAATTAAAACCATAATGAGATTATCGCCTCATTCCTATTAAAATGGCTTTTATAAAAATGACAAAAGACAACACATATTGTTGAGGATGTAGAGAAAAGGAAAACCTTGCACACAGGTGATATGGGCATTATGGAAAACAATGCAGGGGAATCTCCAAAATAGGGCTCCAAAGTCTTAAAAATAGGGCTGGAGGTGCCGAGGATTTAGCTCAGTGGCCTTGTGCCTGCCTTGCAAGTACAAGGTCCTGAGTTTGAGCCCTGGTACCATGGCCCCCAAACAAAAACACAACAGGGCTGTGAGCGTGGCTCAATGGTAGAACATAAGCCTTGCATGTGTGAATCCTTTGGCTTATGATATCCAGTAAAATAAAAATGCTATGTAAACAGTTGTCACACTGTATTGCTTAGGAATGACAACAAAAAGGGCTGTATGTGTTTCACGCAGATGCAATTATTGTTCAAATATTTTTATCAGCGGTTAGGTCAATCTGCCGATATTGAGGGCTGACGGCGTACACAATGAAGTAATACTCAACCTTAAAGAAAATCTTATTTGAAACAACATGAATGATCCCGAAGGATAAAATGTTAAGTGAAATATGCCAGGCACAGAAAGAAAAATACCGCACGATCTCACTTATATGTGGAACATAAAAAAGCTGAACTCACAGAAATAGCAAAATGGCTGCCAGGCTGTGGGGACGGAGGGCTCAGTGATGTCGGACAAGACACGCGATTTCAGCTAGATAAGAGAAATAATTCCAGGAGATCTACTGTACACCACAGTGACTAGCAAGTAACAGTGAGGTATGCATCTGAAGGTAGTGAAAGGAGTAGGTCTGAAGTGTTTTCACCACATCATGGCAAGGATGTGAAGCAAAACTTGTGTGCTAAGTAACTAGGCTTAGCTGCTTCACGACATAGGCCCTAAGCTGAAACCGCCCCCCATTGGACACTGAAAGCGTGTACTATTTTAACTTGTCAACAAGTAAATAAAAATTAATACACTTAGAGAAAACTATTTAAAAAAGTGAATAAACTAAGTTTTTCTGGAGCCCCAAATGTAAAACAATATTAAAAATGGTGTATGATCAAAATTTATATAACATTTTCAAACTACAAACTCAATAAAAGACTGAAGTCTTTTGGTTAAATAATTGAAGTTATAGCTTGCATAATTATTATTATGACATCAGCCCTCAAAATCCAAATTTGGTACTGTAAAAGGAGAGGAAGCCCTAACAAATATTGTAAGGGGGGACCACTAAAGTCAAGGTTTTTAAGCAATTTATTCTTTTATCTCTGCATAGTTTTAATTAAACAGAAACACTACATAAATTCAGCAACTTGTCGGCATAAGTTAATGTGTTTATGAGCGTCAGTATTAAAAATTTGGTATAACTTTTATTGTGTATTCTTGTTCATTACTGGTGTGTTTATGTGATAATTTAATTAAAAAAACCTACAAAATGGCAATACATACTACTACAAATACAGATTTTTGGGGAACAAAACATGATAACACTGCAAAAAAATAAAAATTTTCATTTACTGAGTACTTATGTATTTAAATATAAATTTGTAAAGGGGAAAATGTTTACTTTTTTCTGGTTTAATTAAAATATATTGTTCCCAGGTAACAAATTGTTTTCTTTTTTTCCCTCCGGTACCAGGGATCGAACTCAGAAACTTGTGCAGGCGTGACATCACTGAACTAAATCTCTGGCCCAACAAATTATTTCTAAACACGAAGGATTTCGGTATAAAATTTAGGCCAATATGTATATTTTAAAAATTAATACTTTCCTTTTCTTCTTGACCAGGAGTTGTAGTATTGTCATTACTGAGATTTGGGGCCAGATAACTGTCCCTGGGGGTGTCTTCTGTGTTACAGGGTGGTTAGCAGCACCCTCTGCCCCCACTCACCAGATGCCAGCAGGGCCCTCCTTCCAAGCTGCCTACCACAAACTTCTCCAGACACTGACCAAACTGCACTGAGAGGAAAAACTGCCATCACCGAAAACCAGTGAACTAGACCACTCTAATCAGCAGAAAGGTAGATTCTAACATCTTCAATCTTAATGAAATGTGTTCCGGATCCTACACTGTCTTCCAGCTAAAACCTCAACTTTGCTTTTGTGAGACCTGACTGAGCTTTTAAAGTGACTCCTTGTTTGCTGGCTAATGCTCCCAGAGACTGTTGTGCATCCCTCCCCTTATCAAACAACAGGTACTGAGGACACAACATTTAATTTTGGCCTTAACTTGTCAGGATGGAAAGTTAGGGTCAGCACCCTCAAGGACCAATTATTGCTATATTGCTCATCCTCATGTTTGGTCCCTGCATGGAAAAATGGAACAAAGGGTAAGGAGTTACTCCCCCAAAAAAGCGGAGGAATTATAGGGATAACTTTTATAAATAGCAAAAACCTATAAAGTATTACAATGTAAAGTGGCTTCTGCTGACTCTAATAGTAGTTTGTTTTGTTTAGCTCAAAACTAATAGGCACTGAAGGCACTAATTGCTGAATGAGGCATTTGGCCTTATCCTGAGATAACAGGGCACATCAAGGTCTTGAGCTCCGATAAGACTGGAGCCACATGATCGTAAGAGTGTCTAGATGAAAGAACCATTGTTAACATTTGCTTTACTGATCCTGACCCCTTCCTATGGGCTAAGATAGATAACTAGGCGAATCTTCAAGGTAAACTCCCCAACAGCAAAGAACTGTTATGCCTGGGTTGAAAGCTAACTGTCTTGTGACCATGATCTGTATATATACAAATGAAATGTAACCACCTAAATGAGGTCATGGCTGTAAACCCTATAAAACCTATACACAATCCTGTAATGGGGCTTCACCTCTCTTAGAGAGCGGAGTCTGCACGTGTGAAATAAACTTCTTTCAGTCTTATCTGTGTCCCGGTATTTAGTGTGCTCACTGGCTTGGTACAACAGCTTTCACAGCTCAGATTCTAGCACGAGCTGTCCACCTTCATAGGCTGTGTGCCCCATGAACCCTAGGACACATGGCCCGCCTTCCGTCCTTCAGCGCCAGGAATTGTTCAGAGAGGCCGCCAACCTCCAGGCTGCCCAGCCCGGGGCATTTCTTGTTCTTCGTTTCTATGGCTCGCCCCAGCTTCTGTTGTGTGACCCTCTCTCCTCCCCTTCGGACTTCTGCCCTCTGCTGCTCTGCTTCCCCGACTGTGGGCCTGCCTGCTTCTGCACTGCACTCTTTCTTCCCTATCCTGAGTGCTGTGCGATCAGCATGGCCCAAGACTTGCTCTGGGCCTTTCCCCCTCAACAATCCTCCTATGTCTGACCTCAAGCCCCTAACTTAAACATCCATGTGTGAGCTGATGAACTCCCGAACCTAGGTTTTTTCCCTTGGACCCCAGGCTTACTTACGAGTGACAGCTATATAGTTATATAATTCACAGGAATCTCAAAGACAGTACACTGAAAAATGAGTTCTCAGTAATTACTGCCCCATGCCGCACAAACTGTTCTTCGGCATTCTTCCCATGACTATAAATGGGCCCCTTGCTCATTTCAGAAAAAAGGAAAAGCAGCAATGTGGCACGCAGTTTTGACTGCTTCGTTTTCGTGTTTGTAATGCACACAGGAAGTCAGTGTTTCCCACCTCCACGTGTATCTGAAACGAGTCTCCCTCTCTCCAAGTCCAATACGGCTGCCTCAGCCCAAACCAGGGCGGCCTGGCACCTGGGACGCCGTAACTGACTGGTCTTCCTGTTTCTCTCCAGCTTTCCTTGAACCGAACTAATTCTACCGCCAGCAGTAAAGTGGTCTTTGCATTACCCCAAATAACCAAATGGGTACAAGATTGCCTACAGCATAAAGTTCAGACCTCTTTCCACAGCTTAGGAGGCTGTCTGCCCGCTTAACCTCACCACCTGCTTGCATGGCCATGTGCCAGAGCAACAGCCTCCTCTCTGTCACTGGAACACAGAACCCTTTCCCCAGAGGGCCTCTGCAATCTTCTGTCCCCAGACAGACACTTTTCTTCTGATCTCATGTCTTGCCCCTTGGGTCCACCTCACAGCTTATCTGCCCTGGCTCTGCAGACAGGCCTCCCGGGCCAGCCACTCTGGGATGCCTGCCTCCTGCACAGCACCACACTGGGGCACTACCTCCACATCACAAATCCGGCCCTCACGCTTGCTGATGCACCCGCATGTCTGCTTGGGTCTGCCAGGGCAGATCTCGGTGCAGTGCCCGACTTGCCACCCTGGCCCTAACTTGTGTTTCACTGCTCAGCAGCCCATGTCGGAGTTGGGTACTGAGCAGTCGATGGCCCAGCACTGAGCAGGCTTCTGAACAGCAGAGAAGCAGCAGGTCGAAACCAGTCCTACTGTTTCTTCATGTATGATGGAAGCCCTGGACGTGACTGACACGAATGCTTCTTTGAGGAATTCAGAATTTTAATCCCCAACAGTGTGGTGTATAGTCATGGGAAAGGAAGGAGAGGTGTGTGTTGTCTATCATTCCACCCAGAGAAGCTGCTAAGAGTACATTTTTTTTTCTTTTTAATTGCTGTTGTTGCTATTATTTAATTACGGTCCCCCTGGATTCTGCAGGCACTTTTGTTCTAGCAAAACACCCATTATGACTTTTACAGTTCATTCATTTCCTCAAGTATTTACTGAGACATTCATTTAGGCTCTAAAAATGAAGGTAAAGTCCGTGTTTCAATTTTTAAAACCAGGGAGAGATTGATATGTAAACAGATGATTATGAAATAAAATGATTAAGTTTAATACAAACAGACTTAATACCTTTTTGTTTTTAGCACCGGAGATCAAACTTGGGACCTTGTACTTGGTGAGATAGGAGGTGGTACCAGTGAGCTAAATGCCTGGCCCCTTAATATCTTTTCTTCTCTCCAATAAAGGGAAGAAGACATGGTGCTGTGTATAACACAGTATGCTGTACAGTTGTTGGTGAACCGGTTCACAGAAGAAATAAAACAAAACAGAACTTACTGAGTGTGTAGAAAGGCCTCTGACTTGGCGAGTGGGAGAAGAAACCAGGCTTCAGTGCATTTGTAATCACAATGTCAAAAAGATCTGCAAAATCATCCCTAAGAAGCAACAACATTTGTCATAAATTTATTTAAGGAATTGGAAAAGGCCCAAAGAAAAAACAACCATACTCTGCCTATTTTACATAGCGCCCTGCAAACCTGGGACCAACTGTCACACACTTCACAGTGGTCTCAACAGTCAGAGTGAGCTTCCCACTGGGAAGCAAGGGTGGTGCGGCACTGGTCTTCCTGACAGTTCGCCGAAGTGTAAGCACAGCAAAAACGGAAAAGAGAAATAAAGTGAGAAAAAGAGGTGAGGCGAAAGCAGCCTGGCAGCCCTGCCTCCAGAGCTGCCTTTCTCTGGATGAGAGTGCAATGGCGAGTTCAACAGTTTCTAACAGCTGTAAATACTCGGGAGCTATGTTCACAATCACATCGGGGGCGACTTACCTTGAACAATCAGTACTGATCTTGTGTATTATGTAGTTCCACAAAAAGTAGTGATCTGAGTCTGGGGACATGGGGAATGCTCAAACACGAAGAAACTTTATTTTGAAAATCAGGCTAGTCTTACAATGTAGCAATTTTTATTTTATTTATTTAATTAATTTTTTTTGACACAGGGTCTCACTATGTAGTTGAGGCTGACCTGGAACTCACTATGTAGCCCAGGCTGGTCTTGGAACTCACAGCGATTCTCCTGCCTCAGCCTCCCAAGGGCTGAGATTACAGGTGTGCACCACCACGCTCAGCACAATGTAGTAATTTTTAGATGACAACAATGAATGAATTTTTCTGGGTGTGGTGGTGCACATCTATAATCCCAGTACTTGGGAGGCCGAGGCAGGGGGATTGCTGCGAGTTCAAGGACAGCCTGGGGTACTTACGGTAGTGAGTTCAAGGCCAGCCTGAATTATACAGTGAGACTGTCTCCAGAAAAAACAGAAACAAAAGTGCTAGTGCCATTTAATCTGTATTTGGCACTACATTAATCTGCAGCAAAGGGAGGGTGATCCTTTCTCCCTGAGGTACTCAACCAGCACCCTGGAAAAACAATATTTACCTAAATCCCAGAATATTTTACAAGTCAACAATTCAAAGACTAGAAATTAAGGTGGGAAAAAGACTCTGGTCATCTCTTCGAATGAGAAAGGAAGAAGAACTCCTGATCCTTAACCTGAGGCAGGGTCCTCTAACAGTGGTGGCGAACTATGGCACACATATCGTTTTTCTTGTAAGACAGAGGATGTTAATGTACAAGTTGTTTTTTCTAAACTAAAACCTTAGTGCTCAGGTTTAACTGCAGTGTTGGGCTCTGGTGGCAGTCTGGGGGCTCATCTCTCAAAGGAATCATAAAGGGGATTATAGTAGATTAGAATGAGTTAAAAACATACACATATATAAAAATAAAACACCACATCACCTCACTAAACTAGATTACTTCTTTTGCTGCTTAGGGTCCATGGGCAGGAGCTTCTAAAATCCAAGGGACTAAAGCCCGGCACAGAGGACTGTGGGAGAGTGCAATGGCGTGGCCCGAACAAGGCGTTGACCAGCTATCCCGATGTGTCTTTGGCCACATCCCATATAGAGTCTGAATCACCCATGCACCAGTACTGAGCAGCAGGTTTTGGGATGAGGTAGGAGTGCATCTGAGGAACTGCACACTTGGGTGGGAGCTCAGCAGTAGTTAACCTAGGCCTCGGTGTATAAGTGAGCAAGGAATGGAAGGCAGTTCCAGCTGTCCAACTGCACAGAGGCTGACAGGACAATCCAACTCAATTTCATCAGGCTGCACACCAACAGCCAACAACCAGTTAATTCAGCATGGCCTACCGATTCATCCCGATGGAACAGTGCTCTTTTAGCAATAGCACGGAAACTGAAATGGCTGCATCCCACAACACTGGTTTTCACCCAGGGCTAACCCATGTCAAGGGAATGGTAACAGCAACTGTCCTTCCATCCTAGCAGAGCCTTCACTGTGCTGGTCCTGGGGCTGAGACCTCCTCTGACAACAGGCATGACGCAAGTCTAAATCTCAAAGCTGTATTAAACCTTGCCCCAGGCCACACAGTAAACCTGCAGAGCAGGGCCTGAGCTCAAGGATGCTCCCCCTTCCAGTCCCCCACATTCTACTGCCTCATCTTCACGGATGTCACTTCCACACTGGCAGTGCAGACCCTCAAGTACAGGGCCCCACACTGAAATGGACAGAAGGGGCCCTACTTCAGGAATTGGCCAGGAGGCGCGTCCCTACGATAATCACCCCAAATCCAGAAGAACTCACGACGACCCAAGGACACTTTCTAGAAGCTCAGTCACTTCTGAGCCACAGTAACTGTGCTCTGCTTAAATGTACCCTTGGAGGGCAGGGCTGGGGGGGTGGCTGCCGGAAGCAGATACTAGAGTCTATTAGGAGGGAAAGAAGAAAACACTTGTCACGGCACCATTTAAGGAGCGCCATGCTGTGGCCCAATCCCTTCAAGGAAGCACTGCCGCCTCATACACCATCAGCACTTTACAGACAAGGGACATGGACCTGGGCGCCACTTACCCGAGTGTGTACTCACACAAGAGCCTGCAGTAATCACTGTGAGAACTGGTAATTAATAAAAGAATCTTCCCGGCACTCTTTAGCTGTTGAAGCCACTTTCTCACAGATTTGGGACACCTGTGTAAATATTTGCCTGGATCTCTTTTTATTTCTGGAAAATAGAGTCCACAGTTTTCTGAAAAAAAAAATGATGGAGGTTTCTTTAAAAAATTGTTTTGAATTAATGTATTCTCCAAAACAATCTCTTTGAAAGCTATAGATTAGAAAGACTAGGTTTAAACAATGGCAATGATACCACTGCTAACTGCTTTTTAAAAAGAACTTTTTGTTTTTTGATTAAAAATAACAATGGTTGATATCGTTAGTTGATAATATGGATTGGACAGGTAATGAGAACTATTAAAACAGTCAACACAGTATCACCAATAATGCAAACCTAACTATTTGAAATACCAATCATAAATATTCCCTGGACCATCCAACAAATACCTGCTGAACACAGGTGAGGACCAGACAGGCAGATGGCACACCAGAAACACACCCTTGGCAGAAAGCTGGCGGCCTCAGAGGCACAGGCATGCTCCACAGAGCCAGGCTGCAGCCTCAGAGAGGGGTGGAGGCAAAAACAAAAACCAGGAGAAAGAAGCCAGAGAAGGTGAGAAGTCACTGCAACAGACATGAATGAACTTGGATGGCTGGCTCGGCCCTTCTGGGTCCCTAGTGAATTTCCAGGCTGAGGCTGAGCTCTGGGGCAGACAGACGGTGGCCAAATCTCCAGAAGTCTGGGCAAGCTGGAACCTGGGTACTGTACAGACAAGTGCAGACTGGGTTGAAACGCTTCTGGATTCACACAGCATTTTGAAACTGCACTAACAGCTGCAATATTAGATGAGGAAGAAAAGGGAATCCGATGTCTCACTACCTTTAAATGCCAGGGACAGAACACACTCAAAGACAAAAAAAACAGGTTAAAGAGCCTGAGCTCAATGGCAGACTCTGCAATAACCAGACCCCAGCTATACTTGCTCTGTTGGGTGCGACACACTGGATCTAACAGAAATGAAGTTACATTTCAGTAATGTAAGGATGGCAGAGTCTCTAAGCGGAAGGAAAACAAATCCAGAAAGATGCCAACCCTGCTGCCTGCCTGCCAAATTGCTCCCTCTCCCACATGCGGGAGTGATGACTTGTGTGAGGTCCATCCTCCCCCAGGTGCCAGGCGTGCCTGGCAAGGCCCTGGGCTTGTCCTTCTGCACCACGATGGTAATTCTCCCCACCTGCCAGTGAGCTGTGAGGAAGGTACAGGGCACCCAGGCCTGGCCAGTGAATGCTGAGGGAGGCCCTGCTCTCACTGCACCACCAACAGAGGGAGCCACACAGATGATGATGTGGTGGGGGGGCGACGCAGTGAAGATGTTCGGCTTCTACTACTGGGTGTCGTGTGAACCACTGCAGCCTCTACGACACCGCACACGTCTAACACCCTGGTATGTCGGGGTACACACAGGAAAGGTGCGGGGTCTCTGGTGACAGCCCCAGGCCTCCGATTAAACCACTGAATGAATCATCATTAGAAATACAGCACCTACCATTCAACTCTAGTGACTTCTGCTCACGTAAAATAATTTAATAAAAGCTTTGACATTAAGAACATCTGTTATCTATAGCCTAAAGCATCTTGATTCAGGAAGTAGAAAGGTTATGAGAATAATATTTAGACCTTAAGATTACCATAAAGGTATTATTTGTCCTAACCTCACTATTCTGCTAACAAGAATCAGGAAAAATTAAAGTATACAAAAAAAAAAAAATAGACTTCAAGAAACAAAGAGCAAAAACAAAGTGTGGGTTCTTTTGTATTTTGTTCTACAGAGACATCTGTGTGTAATTTTCTAGGATTTCCTAATATTTTAAAAGCTATGTAAGGACCCTTACAAAAATTATCTTTTCTGTCTTTCAGAGGAAGATAATGACATGGCTGAGGGCAGAACAGTTTGATGAAGGCAATTCCGGAGGCTATGTCTCTCTTAATTGTACTAACAGAGACACATGTGAGACTATTTCAGAAAAACAGGGCTTCTGTAGCAAAATAAACCTCACAGGCTAGATAACAAAAAGATTTATAGTGTGCAATAACAAAATTTTTATTCGGAAAACTGTTTCCTAGTTATATGTGCTTGGTGCCATCTAATGGTCAAAATATAAAATTGCTACTAAAAAATCAACATTTCTGAACAGTCCAAAAAAAGGGGAAGGGGATGAAGAGATGCATAGAGGGAGGTGGGAGGAAAGGGAAAGGGGATTAAAAAAGGAATTAAGATGAGTTATGTACATGTACCAAGTCCACAAGGAGTGTAAAAATGTACTACAGACATGTACTAATAAAATGATTTCAAGAAAGCATATACATTTACAATTACAATTTCTTACCTAGATTCATTTGGTATTTCTAAAGACTAATCCAAGGGAGAAAAAAAAATAATTTAATCAGAGAAAAATATCCTGAAGTAATACTGGGCTGTCCATTTGTTCATAAGCCACTGAAGTGGACAAATTAAAAACTCAAGCCTTCTACAAACAGATGCCAATGTAGACCAACTATGAGATACTCTTACTACAGAACACCACTGGCCGTCACTGGGAGAAATACCTTTTTCCCCTTGTAACTCCAAATCATTAAGGAACAAGAGCCATAATTATGCAGTAGTAAGTACACAATCATTTTTCTGCTGAAATAAATCAAGGTATTAAACACAGGAAGAGGTACAATAAATATACTATAACACATTATAATTTTCCTATTAAATCATTTCCCTGAGACTAAACCCTGAACAACAAGGCTTGGGGTGAAGGAGACATCTAATGGACGAAGACCTGTAGCGCGCAGGAGCAAACACAGGACGTTTACAGACATTCAGAGTAATTATGCGATCTCAACACACAGCCAGAGGGTGACGCCTGTGGTTCATGCACTAGCAAAGCCATTCCACCCGCAGTGTTTTCCCTCTTCCTTGCCCCCTTCAGAAAGCCACGGTGTTCACTACATGCCAACAGACCGACACCTTCCGGACAAGACAGGGAGTTCAGGTCATGCGGAAAGGAGGGGCTTTGTTTGCTCTGAACTCAGCAGGTGCCTGTGTGTCCACGTAACCTCCCAGAGACTTCTGTTTCACTGCCATTTCAGGTCACTCATTTTCCTGGCCTTCCTGTGACACTTGGATTTGTTGATGTTGGTATTTTCTGTCCCCAGATGGGATTAAAAGTCAAAACATTTTTTTTTTTTGGTACTGGGGATTGAACAAGGCAAGTGGGGGCACCACTGAGCTAAATCTCCAGCCCCTAAAAGTCAAATTTTTAAAAAGCAGGTTCAAATTAACAAGGGCAGCTCTCCATGGTAACTGGTTAATACAGCACCATGGAGTAGCAGCTGAGTGGGTAACAGCCTCCGAGCACTCAAGAGGCAGAGGCCTAAGTCCACTGAAAGGGTCTCAGGGCCTCTTGTAGAAGAATAAAACCAGTGACGCATGAATATTAAAAGGGCTTGATTTTTAAGGCGACAACTGTGTCACGTGGCTGTTTCTCCCATTGCCGAGTAAGTGAGCATTCTTGCTAACCTACCACTACTACCATGAGATTTGAGGACACGCTGGCTGCCACTTCGGCCTCCAGCCAAGAGCTGTTGCTGTCTGTACCGCAAAACCTAATTTAGGAAATTTAAATATTTACAACCATTACCAGTTAAGAGCACACTAGTAAATAGGTAAAATACTTAGCTATGAATTGTTTAAATATACTTAACTGCACAGATAACTTACTTAATTAAAAAAATAATTTTGGGGGGGCTAAGACAAATATTTTTTAGAGGACTAAAAACTTTTTTATACAGGTGGCAAAAGATGATGCTGACATTTAATATTAAAAAGATTTTCTATTTAGAATCTCTATCACATTTAATATTTGTAAATGAAAAAATCTAGACTCTCTAGATTGAAGGGAAATTTATCTGCCACACATAACGCTTAGAGAAGGACTTTGAAGACCTGGGAATGAAGTATGTAACGCACTGAACAACAGAATGTATAAAACTGACAACTGCATAATATCTGACTTCCATCTCTAATTTAACAAGCTGCATGTGTGACTGTCCCAGCCGGTGTGGTACAAATGGATCTAATCACTTTCATCGGACTTTTTACTAATAAAATGTCTATAAATGGACCAAGTCTAGCTAGTTGCTTGGTTTTTTGAGACAGGGTCTCACTATGTAGTTGAGACTGACCTGGAACTTACTATGTAGCCCAGGCTGGTCTCAAACTCACAGAGACCCTCCTGCCTCAGCCTCCCGAGTGCTGGGATTACAGGCGTGCGCCACCACGCCCGGCTTAGTTGCTTGAATTTGAATAACTGTTGCCCAACTATAAATATTAAGATTATTCAGACCAATTAAAAATTATTCTAATAATCAACAAACTTATTTCACTAAATTAAGAGAAATTTATATTTGTGAATTTAAAACATTTTATATATAAAGGTGGCTGATTTGTGCAGTGTGCAAAATTTCATAATGGGTTTGGCTTTTTTGGCATCCACAGCAACACCCACTTTTTCAGATAATTTTTTAAAACAATCTCTATATCGCTTGTGTGTGTTTCTTACAGATTCTAAATAAGTTTCTATAAAGTGCTTTTTCAAGTAGTTTGTGCCCGCAGCATTTCTCCATGGGTTAATGTTTATCAGTAATTAATTCTCTAAATTTTAACATGGCTTCTTACGAGAACCCCATTGCTGGTATATATAATGTGCTTTTATAACTAATGCACCACAAATTAGCTATATTACAATTTTTTATAGCACTTTATTGTTTTCCTCAATATAAGACTCTCTGTTTTATGGCCAGATTATTATTACACTCAGTGGTCAATTTTTCTTTTATTACTCCATTACTCTTGGCGGTTCTCACTTTTTGGGGATTTTTTTTTTCTTTTTATTGAGTTTATTGGTACCATCTAGGTATACAATACAGTTACATTCATCATTGGGATTCTGTACCTTTACATAATAGGTCTTGATTCTCATTTTTCCCCTTGTCCCTGCCCTCCCTTCACCCCCTCCTCCCCTCCCCATTTACAAACACTTTATTTCCATTTTTTCAGTTTCTCATATTTTTTTCCTCTTCCTTATTACCTTTCCCCCACCCTTCCCACTTTCCCTACACCTTTAACACTTTACTTCCTATTTCACATTATTAATTATCTCATTAGGATCCTGTGTACTATTACAGTTTTTCACACCAAAGAAACTATTCAGTATTTCAGTTAAAGAAATCTCTGTATGAACATTAAAAATAGGGAATCCTAAAATAAAACTAAAAAGGAAAGTAAAAGAGAAAAGGCAATGATGTAACATTAAAATAATCCTTAATTCTGGAGATGAAGATGGTCCCTGAACATATTTAAATTGCTTCTTGCTCTTATAGTCTTATCTTATTCTTTTTTTCATTATTTAGAGAATACTTTATTAGTTTCTGTAATCAAACCCACGTAGATATGACCTTATATATTTAGTACTATGTGTTACCCCTGTACACACGGAAAACAAAGTAAAAAAAAAAAAAATTTAACATTTCTAGACCAATATGGCTGTTCATTTCTGTACAATGCCAACTCAACACAGTAAACTGGGATGACTTTTTTTGGGATTTTTATTTGTAAGTAATTTTTGAATACATATTTGTATATTTTAACCTATTCATTTTTCAATTTTAAGCATATTTCAACTTTGTAAATTTTTTTCCCATTAGAGTGTCAAATACAGAACACAGATGATTCTTTTTATCTTCATGAAATAAACTTGTTGATTATAATTTAAAAAACTGATCAGATCTGTTTGTAGCACCAGTGGTTCAAGCCACTGGATGGGACAGTCATGCATGTACCACTGGTGGTCCAAGCCTGTGGGGCAGGGCAGTGGGTTAATGCGGATTCTGCTCCTGCATGACCGTATCAATTTACACACTTCTCCTATGTCTCCAAAGAGCCTGATACAGCTGGTCTAGGCTGGGCCACAACACTGCTTTTTATTTGTTTGCTTGTTTTAGCTCCCCAGGAGATTCTAATGAGACACTGGAATAAAGAATCACTGCTGCGAACCAAACTATAAGAACCTGGCACATTACCATTATCTGCATTCCTTGCATGGTTCACTGGATATCACAGGCTCTAAGAAGACAAGAACTTCCTGATTTTACAGTATCTTATTGGTATATAGGCTTGTGTGCAATAAAGGCAATAAAGGAATATTAACTGCTGCTGATATTCTCTAATGTGACTGTAGTTAATAACATTTACTCTTGCTTTATGCACATTAGTCATGGTATTTTATATTTAATTAAGTATTCTGATTTTAGAATGATGGATTTCATGTGACTGTAGAATTACTGGAGTAAAAGAGGCTGACATGGGCTTTTTTTGAGGGAAAGTTATTCACATAGTTCAAGTGAGTATCGAAAGCCAAGGAGAGTACCTTCTCTCTCCAGAGCCATCAAACTGGCAAGCCTTGGGCTGAACAGTCTACAAGTATTTTTGGGCGGTATAATCCATGTTTTAAAATTTGTAAATTTTAATGCTTTTGGATAGCATTACACAAGAAACAACAGGGGCCTCTGCAGGCTAGAAAGGGCTAGAAAGCTTACAGCTGGTGATATTTTCTCTTGTTAATGTCAGAGGAAGCGGAAAGAACTCTAAAAATGTACACGATGACATGATTAGAAGAACCCAGAGAGCCTGCAACTTCATATGAATAAAGGCTCTGTTGCCTAAACATAGTCTTAAAAATTACCTGAATGAGAAATAGGAATGTTTTTCCTGGCATGACAAAGTAAAGATGGTTGCAGATAAAACCTAAGACAGGTTTTAGGCTAGCTTTAAAGAGACATGCAGCAAGTTAGATCTCAAATAATTTTAAAATTTATTTGCCAGGCATATGACCACCTTAGAAGGTTTTGTTTTAACCAGAAATTAATCTGATTGATTATCCTGACATAAAACCTCCCATCTCCTCCAGAAGAGAAGACCTACAAAAAATCAGGAGAACTAAAACAAAACGGAGTATATTGGGGCAAAGCAGGTTCAGAAATGTGTTAATGCTATTGTTTAAAAAATTTTTTGCATACTTGTAACCTCAACACTCTGGGAGGCAGAGGTAGGAAGATCACAAATTTGAGCCTAGCTTGGGAAATTTAGCAAGACATTGCTAAAAGGAAACCTGCCTTCCCCTGGGGGCTAGAATGCTCCATTCCATAACAAACAAAAGCCCAGGAATAAAACTTTCACCTGGTTTTCTTCTGTGGCACACAGATTTATGGAATGCTATGACAGCCTTTTACGATATACACACTGTGCTAACTTCAATTCCCAAATGAGTGTAAACTAAGATGGATCGCCCTTCAGCACCCCAGACAGCCCTGCTCTCTCTCCTGCTCCATGTCTGAGAGCCTGGAGCCCTGAGGCGTGCAGGGTCCTCAGGCAGAAAACAGTGGGCCTGGAGGAAGGTTCACAGGTGAACTGTGGGAGCCACTGCTCTCGAGCCAGGGCTTCCAGCCCATCCCTCTCAGCCCTACCAGTCCTTTTCTTCCTGGTGGACTCCTCACACCTTTGCATGCTGCCTCCTAACATACACAGTTATTTTAAAACACTTAGACCTGAAGGGCTTTTTAAACTAAAGATTAAATAACAATGCTTTGCCAAGTTAATATGAAGGATACAAAAAATAAAGTTGTAAATTCAATCCTTACATATACTCTTATCTAGATCCACTTACTTACTGGCTCATATTATTAAACATGTTTCCGCTTTCTCTTTTCATTATATTGTCTACAATTAAAAACGAATCATTTTTTTTTTTTGGTATTAGAGATTGAACTTAGACCTTGCACTTGGGAGGCAGATGTGGTGCCACTGAGCTAAATCCTCAGCCCAAACCATTTACTTCTGTACCTTCTGACTTGATGTTAATAAGAAAGTAGGTAAAGAATTTTGCCCCACTGTTCCTTAAAGCACATGCTCTGTGACTACCAAGATGATGAGTGCCCTCTTACCTGAAAGAAGTTCTCATCCTGGAAGAGGGACAAAAACAAATCCCCAAGACACAGCCAGCAGTGTGCACAGGAAGCAGACAGACGCTGTCCCCAGGGCGGCTGGGGAAGAAAAAGGTGACTCCTCCAGCAAGCGAGGGCTCACAGGTTGCAGAGGTTTGGACTGAGCCCGGGTCAGCGAGAGGTGTGCAGTGGCTAAGAAGGGACAATGGCTGTCCAGAGAGGAGTGCAGAGGACAAAGAGAAATGGGGAAGGGGGTTCTGGAGCTGAGGGTCCAGGATGGAGTGGCTGGGAAGTGAGACTGTCCTTCTGGCCTGCACAACAGATCATTTCTTCTGAGCGCGGGCCTGTGTGCAGCTGCTGCTGCCCGAAGCCACTGTTTCAAAACTGATTTCTTCTTTGCTTTTCCAAAGTTCAAGCTGCTTCAAAGGCTGGTTTAATTCTCACTTTTCTCAGTTTTTTCTTCCCACTGAATATGCCCAATACTTTATAAGGTATTTGACATACTCTATTACTAATTTTTGTACACAACTTACTCGTTACATAATAGATTTTATCTTCCACTTAATCTCCATGAAAGTATTTTTTCTGTGCCATTATAATAACTAGATTCTGGATACGCAGGACATATTTAGTATAGGTGATGGAATTAAAATTTATTCTCTCAAGGAGCCTAAACATGCTCACGAAATTTTAGTGATATTATTATGCAGGTTAACACAACAACCATTTTTCTTCTATATTCAAAAGTAAATCTTATTTCTACTCAATCTAAATGAGACTTACTTAAACATTTTAATTCAATTCACTGGAATCTAAAAGGTAAAATCTTTTACTAGAAATCTCAATACTGATGTATATTTAATGCATACTTTCAGTTTTTAAGAATAAAACAGCATATCTGCAGGAGATAGAGAACAGTTGAATTTATTAAGGTAGGTGCCCTACCAGTTCACAGAGCACCTGAAAAACAGTATTGTAACAATCAAAATATTTATAGAAAATTATATCTAATTTTCTTTTAACCTAGAAAAAATTTAAGAAAACAGATAAGTGATTAGGTTATTATTATTATTATTATTTTTTTTTAGGGGAAAGGTATGAACATAAATCCAGAGAACTCTAATCTCTGGAATTGTTCAATAACCAAGAAGGAAACATTCAAAATTCAACTTAGAAGAGGCAAATATTTCACTCACTATTATTTAGGGTTTTTTTTGTTTGTTTGTTTGTTTGAGACAGGGTCTCACTATGTAGTGAGACTGACCTAGAACTCACTATGTAGCCCAGGCTGGTCTCAAACTCACAGTGATCCTCCTGCCTCAGCCTCCCGAGTGCTGGGATTACAGGTGTGCGCCACCATGCCCGGCTTTACTCACTATTATAAGCAACCTCAAAATGAGCTACATGTACTCAATGAAAAATGTACACGAAAAGGCAACGGCACTCATAGATGACCAGTAACGGTTCATCTCAAAAAAATGACAAAGTGTTTTCCTTTCCAGACAAGATATCCATTTAGTACTTAAAAGGGTGTTTAACTTAAATGGCCCAGGCCTACAAATTAAATCATTGTCTTGGAGAGAAGGAATGGGAGAAAGGAATTCACGGTTTACAGAGCCTGACCTGGGAGAGTGGCTGTGCTATTCCCACTGTAAAAGCTTCAAAGGGCTCAGCAGCTCTGCACTCTCGTGGTCAGAGACGCATGTTGCAGGAGGTGGCCTCAGTTCCTGGTGGTGTGAGTCAAGACTGACAATCCCGATTCAGGTGTCTGCTGTGCAATCTACTTGGATAAGTGGATTTGGTCACAGAGAGACTGCTGGCTTCTCTCTAAAGCCATGTTAACAGCAGGGCCCACACCATTAGGTAACTGTGTGCAATAATGAACATGAAACATGTAGCATGGTGTTTGGAACAAGGTGAACACTATGTTTGAACTATTTTCACTGCACCAAGGATGACGCCTGGCTGGAGTACAGGAGGAGAACCCAGTGGCTTGGGCCTGGGTGTCCCAGGGCCGTCCCACAGATGACTCACCTTCCCAACCCCCAAAGCGGTTGTCACTGGAACAAGAGGGCTATGCCTGGAATATACAGCAATATCCAGATCCTGGGGAACTTTGAAAAGCACTCCAAAGAACAGATGAGAAACCCGCACTGCTTCAAAGCTGGAAGGGGAAGCAGCACTGTATGGAAGTAAGTGGTTGGAAACAAGAGTACTCACTGGTGTCCTGACAGCCTTGGCAGTCATCTGTCTACACACACGTCAGCAGACACGCAAGTACCAGAAGAAGAGAGGGTACGGGAAGTTTCCCCTAAGAGGAATGAGCTTCAAATTATCTCTGTAGCAAAATGGGGCTACTTTGGAAAAAAATGTCATTGCTCTGTGTGGGCTCAAAATGTAGGACTCTGCCTATCAAAATGCCACTTACCTTTAAAATGTACTTTAAAGAAGCATCTGCTATGGAAAAATGGTTCTCCCTGTCCAGAAAACCCTGGATGGCTGTGGGAACCCAATCTCTGGACAGCTTCACCCCCCCACTCACTCCAATATTCAAGGAATTCCTTTCAGGAAAATGTTCTCTAGCAAGGCCAGACACTCTGGATGCTTGTGTGCAGGCTTCCAGGCTTTGGGAGGAGGAGCACTTACCTGGAAACCATTCAGCTTCCTAGACGACCAGAGAATTTTTGCAGGGCACAATGTAACTTAAAATCACCTTGTAATTCCCCAAGTGATAACGTAGAAACTATCCTTTCCCAAGTTCTGAAACACTAAAAAAGCTGTTAAGTCTTCCGTGAACGTTAGCTCCAGATTCTGGTTCCCTCCCCTGGCCCGTACATGTTAAGGGCTCTGCTGAGGTGATGCGCCCTTTAAGAGATGGGCCTACAAGGAAGATGGGTCATTGTGGACATGGCCTTGAAGGTGATATGGGGACCCTGGCCCCTCTCTCTGTTTCTGCTTTTCAGGTGCCACAGGTGAAATGGTTTTTTCTGTAGCCACAAATGTACTGCCTAACCGCAGGCCCCAAAGCAACGGGCCAAGTGACCATGGACTGAAACTGCTGAAACCATGAGTCAAAATAAACCTTCCTTGAAGTCCAGTTAGCTCAGGTGTTCAGTCACAGTGACAGAAAGCTAACACAGACCACTGGCATTGAAAAGTAGAGTCATTTTTTATGACTACACTTCATGATGAGGTTCAAGAACCTTTGGATTTGGTTTGTGGGAGGAGTATGGAAAAGAAGGCAGAGTGGATCTGTAGCACTGTAACCAGAACTTGGGGGTGAGGGGAGCTGTGGTGAGGGCTCAGAAGACAGAATGCTGACAAGGATGAGAACAAGTAGAGGCTGTGCTGCTGAGGTTTCAGGTGGAAAGGAGGACTCTTGGGAAACAGGCTACTTTTCGGCAAAGAATCTGTCACACTTTGTCCACATCTTGAGACTGTGAGAAAGCTGAGTTTAAAGGTGAAGGAAATGTCAAGATAGCACAGTGTTCAAGTAGTGGCCTGGGTATTGCAGGCCACTTTTTGCCAAATTTAGTGAGAACTGGGAGCAAATACCAGAGGAGAGTTTGAAAAACTTGTAGTTTGGCTAGAAAAGGAGTGTTTGTAAAATTCTGAGGAGGACAGGTTTGGAAAGAGGTTAGTGACATTAAAAAGAAGCGACCCTAGGAGTGCAACTCAGTAGCAGAGCATCTGCTAAGCACGGATGAAGTCACATCTGAGTTTGCACTAAATCTCCGAAGACTACAGACTTGCACTTTTGAGTAATGCTGGAACTGTGAGGTTTACGGGATTCTTGGAGATGACTAGATGCATCTGCCTTGGTAAACTGGAATAAGTCTGCTGACCAGCGTGGAAGGCTATATGTAGTCTGGACTGGAAACGGGCCCCCAACCTGTGGTGCTTGGGGCAGTGATGAACTCTTTCAGAGGCAGCTCCAGAAAAGGTATCAGGTCACTGAAGTACCCCTTAAAGGGGTGACTGGAATCCCATCCCCCTCTTTCCTGGGCACCACAACATGAACAGGCTTCTTCATTACTATGCACTACTTCACCACAGGCACAAAACGCAACAGGGCTATGTGATCAGGAATGGAAATTTCTGAAAGTACAATCAAATTACATTTTCCCTCTACTTTAAGTTGTTTGACTCAGTTATTTTGTCAGAGCAACAGAAAGCTGACTAACACACTGGGTTATCACTGTCACTGTGGTGTGTGTTATTCCGGGTCAATTTCTGTGGACTTATACGCACACCTCTCTAGTTAATATTCTAGTGTGCCTCTTCCAACATTATTAAGGACTCACATACATGTCTGCAGTGCACATTTTATGCAGTTTGCTGTGTTCACTCAATACTATAATTTGAAATTGCATCATATATTTACAGGTACATTAAAAATTATTATTATTTTTTGGTTTGAGACAGGGTCTTGCCGTGTAGTTCAGGTTGGCCTTGAATTCACTATGTAGCCCCAGATGGCTTCAAACTCCTGGTGTCAGACCCCCGAGTGCTGGGACCACAGGCATGCACCCCATACCTGGCTCAAAAAATTATCATTCAGCA